CAGCGCCAGCCGCTGCCCTCCTGCCTGCCCACTATATGTCCTGGGTTTCGCTTGCCCATCTGCAGGCCCGGGACTGGTTCTGTGGGTGCTGGTGGTATTGGGGGAAGGAGAACAGACACATCCGCTCTCCTCCCCTTCTTGTCCCCACTGACAAATTCCTGGCCATCGAGGCCAGAAAAGAATGTGCAATGTGCACTGCATTACATCCAGTGGAGCACAGGGGAGACATCCAGGGTCTTTTAGACCCTGGATGTCTCCAAAAAGAGAACCTGTCGCTAAAAATCATCACATAGGGGACTTTTTGTCCCCTATGTAAATTAAAAAAAAAAAGTTACACCCAAGCAGATAATTTTTCAAGGCCCCCCACATATACGCACGTACAAACGTAAAAGCACACGCTGGGGCACCTACACATGAAAACGTTGATTGCGATACACATTACATATCGCCGCACATGCCAGAATGAGAGCAATAATTCTAGCACCAGAACTCCTCTGTAAAACTAAACTGATGACCTAAAAGGGGCTTTAAAAGCGTCGCCTATAAAAGAAAATTATAGGGTACTGAAGTTTGTTGCTGTTTTACAAGTGCACGCAAATTTAAGGTTTGACACGTTGGATATTTGTTTACTCGATGCAACCTCAGATTTTATATTTTACAAAAATTGGATACTTTATGAGTTTTTGTGCCCTAAAATTAACTTAAGTGTATTTGTTACTGAAATTTTGCATTTCCTAGATCTTTCTGATAATATCATGTGACCTATAAAATTGGAACTACCACTATTGTGTGTGTGTGTGTGTGTGTTTGTGTGTGTGTGTGTCTTAAATGATTTTTTTAACCGTGCAAAAATTGCAAAATCAGTTCTGGCAGCAAAAGGGATATAAAGGATAACCCGGACACGCCCCTTCCCTGACGAGCAGCCAATCGGTACGCATTATACTGCAAGGTCTCTCCCCTCCCTGCTAGAGACAGGCAGAGAGGGGAGGAGGAGATAATCAGCGCAATGTTAAAAATATTACACGTTTTTAAGTCGCTGTAAAGCCCCTTTTGTTTTTAAAAGCCCCAAATATTCCTAGAAGCACCTCAGATTTAAATACTGTTCTGATTAAAAAAAAAAAAAAAGTAATTTTAACCAAGACAAGTAGATTGGGGCACTGATTTAGTCCACGAACAAGTAGGTTTTTTTCAAAAGTTTCCACACCCCTGGTGCATGGACACATCGGATAATATGGAGGGGCATTGGAAGCTGTAGAAAAAAAAAAATGCCTGATGCCCCTAAAGCAGGCCATATATTGGTTGAATTCTGAATGATTTTTTTTTATTTTTTTTTTTTTTTTTTTTATTATCAAAAAGGTCATTCATTCTCTAAGACTATGGTGCCACCAATGATTTCGAAAGTCGGTCGTTTTTTACAAATTTTCCAGCATGCCCAATAAACGAAATGGGGAGGTGCCATTGCCCCACTAACAGAGTGAAAATTGGCCGATTATTTTTAGGTTTTTAGGGGCATCAGGAATTTTTTACAGCCCCTCCATATTATCCTATGTGTCCATGCGCACACAGACTTATAGAAGCTTTTAGTGCTCTGCCCCTCCAACACTCACTGGAGCGCTGGACTGTGGAGGAGCTGGCTCAGGATCTCATTGACGTGTTGAGAGTCTGAGCCAGCTGTTGGTCCAGGCATCTGGGTAGATCCCAACATTATTGTTTGGATCCCTGCAGAGACTGGACCGGCACTGTAATATCCGCCAACGGCAAACTTTAGCCCATTAGCTGAATCGGGTCACAGGAGTACAGAGCTAAGTGTACTTCTGTGACCCACAGGAGAAGTATGGCTAAAACAGCTTTGGCCAAACTTCTCCTTTTACGTTAGTAGGTTAGGCTTCTGTGGTTGTCGTTGTGGAAGTAACCACTGGTGCTTAAATTTACAGTTGGTATCAAATGTTGTAGCAATAGTCACAATTGTGTCTGACCATACTGAAATATCATGATTTATGGTCAATCACATGAGGGGACTATTCCTTCTAAAGGGTTATTCGGAGGACAGAGTGATCTTTGTTAGAAATAAGGATGAACTACAACTTTGAAGTTCTTTCCAGAGGGGCACTTTGGATGTGGCTAAACTGGAGAAGACTTGCCGTATGTATACAATAAAAATGATTCCTGGTGTGATAAATATCCAAATCCAAGTTACACTTTTGCAATGACCACATCTGGCCATTGCTTGACCTATACAAAAATCTATATTGCATCCTGTTCATCTCTGCTGGCTTTCCAAATGTTGGATGGTACCATATGTTTGGTCTATGGAGTGCTTACACAGACAGCAATTTCCAAGGTCTGATTGCTTCTTGACAGGCTCTTGTATATTATTATTATTATACAGTATTGCTGCCTTGCGTGATTAGATTTAGAGATGTATGACTAGCCTTCTGAACACAATACATACAGTACATTGCCTGGAATTGGTATTCTAAACTCTTATTGTTATTATTATAATACATGACTTGTATAGCTCCTACAGTTTGTGCAACACTTTATAACCTAAAGAGAGACAGTACAGATGCAATACAAGAAAAGAGGGTTAGGAGGATCCTGCTAGTGAGAGGTACAATCTAAAAGTACATTTTGTGTTTAAAAAGGAAGAAAAAAAAGTTTGATAGTGACCTGTTTGAATTCTTTATCATGGCCACGTGTGTGTTCATTTATTTTTTTTTTTTTTTTCTTTTTGTTTTTTGTTTTCTTTTTCAGTACTGCTTAGCCATCCTATCACCTGCACAAACAGACAATGACAAGTATGTTAGAACAGGAGGAGGTGCTGATGTGCTGATTAACACTCTTTAGGTCCTGTAGCTCAAAGGCTCATTTACACACTGTAGTCTGCAGAAAGATCCACAGTGGATTGCTTTTTACAGAGTGGCAAGGGGGTGGCTGAGAGGCATTCAGGAGGTGATGCTGCTATCACTTAAATGCATATATGATAATTTTTTTTTTTTCTTTTTTACAGCCAAACAGCATTCTTTTACCACGTCCCGTCCGGCCCATGTACATAAATGGCCGGACAGGAGCAGGTTGCCGTTCATAAACTGCGCCATGCATTTACAGCCTGTGCACGCTCCCTGGAAGCGCGCGGCACTGCGATCCAGTGGCCACTGTGTCCACAGGACACAGCGGAACATCGATCACTGTACGGGAACCTTTTTTTTTTTTTTTTTTTTTTTTTTATTGCTGTCCATGTCCCCATTAGGGAAATCCGCCATCTATTTGTACTGATGAGCATCATCGCAGGGAAGAAAAGTGAGGGAAAATCCAAAAATGTTGGAATTGTCTCTATAACGAGGTAAAGGGAAATCTTTCAATAGGGACACTTGTTCTGGTAATGACTAAGAGGGTAATTCCCCTCACGTTTGCAAATTTCCTCCAACTTCCTGATGTCTCTGTGTATCATTGGGGAAATTTCCCTTCACTTCATTTCTCAGACTGCGAAAAAAAAGAATCTTTCCCTACACTATCCGAAACTAGAAAAGAAAAAAGGTCAATCTGCATATATACTTTAATGAAACCCAATTTTCTCCCCAGTCAATTTTCAGAGTGAAATAAACATACCATTAAACATGCAATGAAAGTTGACCACTCTGAACACCGATCTGATCATTATGCTAGAATTTAGGGTTGCACCGATACCGAGCAGTTGCAGGAGTATTGTTCCTCATGCAAATGCTCCGATACTAAAAACCAATACCTTTTTAGGTTCGGTTCTTTCAGCTGTCAGTGGAATACCCCAACTGACAGCTGAAATGTAAACAATAAAATGTCGGCTGTTAAGGAGGGGCAGCCCCTCCTTAACCGATGACATTTCAGCTGTCAGTGGAATTCCCCTGCGGGGTTGTGCTAAGAGGGGGGATTTAGGGGGAAGAGGGCTACCGTATACCCCTGGACAGCTGAATTCTGCCTCAGAGTACATTTTAGGGCTTATTCACACAAAGTGCAGTGCGGTAACATGCAACATTCCCGTATCACACCACCCCTCTACCTACTCTTCATTAGGGGATAGGTATCGATAATTGGTATCAGCTGTAGTATATTACACAAAATATACTACATCGGCAAGTATCGGTACTCATACTTGGTGTTAAAAAAATGGTATTGGTGCATCTCTACTAGAAATGGTGCCCCAAAGTCCACTGGGAAACAAGTATGTCACTTTTTCAGCCAGGATTTGGGGGTGCTGCTCATGGTGCCACTGAGAGCCTGAGCCAGCCGCTTTTGCCCTCTCCCCATCCCTGCTTTCCAGTGAGTGCTGGAAGGGCAGAGCACAGCCAGTGAGCCAGTGACTTCTCTCCTTGGTCCCTTGTTTATGTGCTATACCGCACATTTTTATTGTGTTTTTTACATGCGTTTTTGTCTTGCGCTTCCATAGACTTTATTGGGGCTAGAAAACGCAGAGAAATGCATACATTTTATCAGACATGCCTTATTTTTTACAATGTAGCACACAGATGTGAATGGTCCTATTGGTATTTGCACAATGTGTTTTTACGTGCTGCAAAATGAACATAAATGAGCACAAGTTTAAACCAGGTGTAAATGCTCAAAAACCTATTTTAAAGATGCATTTGTGTTTTAAAAGCTGTGAATGAGCTTAGCTGTATCGTCTGCAAATATTGGAAGAAGGGGTGGGTTATGGGTCATTGAAAATATTTTCGTCTGCATTCTTTCTGAGCCCTGATAGTGTCATATTGCATGCACTGGTTTTGAAAGCAGTGGGTTTTAAATCAGTGTTGAAAAGGTCATATAAAAGTTTAGACATGCTGAGGTGCAGAGAGCTGACCCTGGGGGTTCAATTGGAGCAATTCCATTTTCAGCTAGGGAATGACTTCAGTCAAAGGAAGTTCTGTAACACTGTCTTTATGTTTGGTGTCTTTAGAGGCAGTAGAACCCCTGCTCTATCATTTTTGTACTGGACAAAATTTAACCTTTTTTTCATTATTCCACAGAAATTGGGGTTGTTGCCAAGACGTACATTGATCAGGGCCAGCTTGTTCCAGATGATGTGATCACCCGCCTTATTCTACATGAGCTAAACAACATGGTAGAACATGACTGGCTGCTCGATGGTAAGCAGGGTTTAATGGAATGTCGTTGTGCATTTATTATTATTCTTCTGGATATAGCCCCAATAGTTTTCACAGTACTTGACAACATGAGGGCAGACAGTACCGTTCCAATACAATTTTAATACAGGAGGAATTGGCCCTGCTCCTTAGAGCTTACAATCTAGGAGGGAGGGTCAAGTGATACAAAAGGTACTAGCTGTGAGGGATGAGCTGATGGAGGAAATAAAAGTACAGTCGTTAAATGGGGGCAGAATAGGCTTCTCTGAAGAGAAGGGTTTTCACAGATTGAAAGCAAACCGAGTAGGAGATAGTTGGACAGATTGGGGTAGTTTTGTAGGGTGGGAGAGGCTCGAGAAAAGTCCTGGAGGCGAGCAGGTGATGAGGTAGCTGGAAAGCAGGAGGTCTTGGGAGGAATGAAGAGAATGATTAGGTTGGTATTTGAGACTAGGTTAGTTATTAGATTGCTTTAGATTTTTATTTTGTATATTACACAACTGTCTCCACTAGCATCCACCAGATTCAACATGCTAAGCAAATTAGTTGGATGGATAAGGTTAAACAGGTTTATATGAGCAGAATTTCTGCAGTTACCAGGAGACCTAGAGTTTAGATTCACACAGTTTTGGTGTGCATGCCTTTTCCTGAACAATGGGCCACTGGACAGAACTCCCGTAAAGTGTGTATATCACAGCAATAACAATTCAGACATCCATGTCCTTTCTCAAGCTTCATTGTTTTGTATATAGATATGTGCCTGTATGTACAGTTGTGCTCAAAAGTTTGCATATCGTTGGAGAATTGGCACTATACAGTATGTACAATTTTTTTTAAAGAAAACATGGGTGAGCAGGCAGTACACAATACTTTTATACTTCAATATTTTTATTGAGAATTGGTTTACCGTGGTATGTATAGGAACAATAACATTTCCGCCCACATGGCGAAATGGTGAGCATAAACGTCATAGAACATATAAGCATATAAAAGCCAGCATTCTCACCAGGTAGCAAACGTTCCAACAGACGATGGACAAGGGCATTGCCAGGGAAATTAGCCACCAATATAAAACCCCAATTCAAAAAAAAAGTTAAGAATAAGGAGATCAAAAGAAAAGATCTAGGATAAAACGAGGCGAGAAGAAAAGAGACAAAAAAAGGGGGGGGGGAGGGAGAAAATGAGTCAGCTGCGGCGTCATTAAGCAATGGAGATATATCTGATCCATGCTTCCCACGTTCCCTCAAATCTAGATTCATGATTATGGACAATGCTAGTTAACTTATTTACCATTATCCAATTAAGTTTTTGTTTAACCCCATCTAGCGAATGATTGTCTCCAGCTTCTAGCTATGGTAATATGTACCACCAGTAAGAGGTAATGAATTCGTTTAGTCGCTTTTTTTGGGAACGGTAGCAGATGAAATAAGGCCACGTCCGGTGTTCTACGAATATTAATTCCCGTAACCGAGTAGATAAAATTAAACATTCGGATCCAAAATCTTTTCACCAAATATGGAACATAGTTCCCTCTTGTCTGCAGTGCCGAAAGCAATTGGGTGATACTGAAGGACATATTTTAGCGAGGCGTGTAGGAACCAAGTACCAACGAAGTAGCGTTTTGTAATTGGATTCAATCAGAGCAGTATTAATCGATATCTTTGATAGAGAATGGGCCGCAGTCTGCCAAGTTTCCAGATCTAAGGAGCTATTCAAGTCCCTTTCCCATTGAGTCATATAGGATAATTTAGTGAGAGGATCGACAAGGGAAGCATAGACGATGGACAAACGACCCCTCATCAACCCAGTTGCCCCACGGGAGACTTCTAAAAGAGTGAGTGCACAAGGTTCTGCAATTAAGTTTGCTGGAGATAAATGAGATAATTTGATAATAGCGAAACAATTCTCCGGGAGGCATCTGGTACTGTGTCGGAAAATACTGGAGAGAACGAGGACGAAGTCCATCCAGGAAGTCTCCAATATGCAGCAAACCCTTATTTGACCTCCATTGAAATACTGATGGTGACACACCAGGAATAAACTCAGGATTATAAAAAAACTGGAGCTAATGGAGTATGTGGGGAGAAGAGAGGTTTGGGAGCCCGCCATTTGTCCCAAACCATCAACGAATAGGGCAGCGTAGGACACACAATAGGAGGACGTAAGCGACTGGGGAGCCACATAAGAGCACCAATAGCATAAGGATGGCAGGATAAGGCCTCAATGCCAACCCACTGGGGGACATAACCCCAGGCTGTAGTACACGTTAACTGTGCTATCTGAGCCGCATGAAAATAAGCTAGGAGATCAGGAAGCCCCAAACAGCCATGCTTCTTTAGGGAAAAGAGAGTTGACCTGTTGACCCTAGGATGCTTTCCCCTCCAGATAAATCTAGAGACTGCAGCCTGTAATAGTATCAGTTCCTGTTTGGGAACCATGATCGGTAACGTCCTAAAGTAGTACAATAGGTGTGATAAAAAAGTCATTTTAATAGAGTGGATTCTATCAAACCAAGAAAGTGGGAGATCTTGCCACTCTAGTAAATCAGATTTAAGTCACTTGAAGAGCGGAAGAGAATTGGTCTTGTACAAGGATGAAAAAATATTTTGTGAAGTGAATCCCCAGATAGGGGAGAGAACGAGGGGCCCACTGGAAATCAAAGTTGTCTTGAAGGTAACAAACCTCTGAGTCAGGCAACAAAATATTTTAGGCAATTGTTTTAGAGGAATTAAGAGGAAGACCGGGTAAAAAAAGTGCGAGGATCAGATATGTACATAAGGACATCATCCGCAAATAGAGCGCATTTATGATCCTGCTGACCACAGCGGTTGCCCGAAATAGTGGGATCAGCGCGAATGGCGATCGAAAGTGGTTCCATTGCCAGAGCGAATAATAGTGGAGAGAGCGGACAACCCTGTCTAGTACCACGCCCTATCAACAGGGAGGCTGACTTATAACCACAAATGGAAACTTGAGCCGAAGGATTAGAATAGAGGGCCCGTAGCAAGGTCGTAAAAGAAGGGCCAAACCTATCTAACATCTGAAATAGGTAGACTGTCAAACACTTTATAAATATCCAGCGATAACAATAAAATTTCCCTCTGAAGATTTGTCCCAATTAGAATGTCCGGCGAATTTGGTCAGATGTTTGTCGACCGCTGATAAATCCTGACTGATCATCATGAACATACAGTGCTAGGAATTTATGGAGGTGTAAGGCCAAAATTTTAGTGAGAATCTTTACATCAGAATTAAGGAGATGGGCCGGTAATTGGAAACTATAGAAACATCTTTGAGAGGTTTGGGGATGACACTAATGAATGCCTTATTTTCGTCAGGGGGCACCAGTCCCCCATCCCGTAGATAATTAAAATATTGAACCATATGGGGAACCAGGGCATCAGGGAAAACTTTGTAATAATTGTGAGGAAGACCATTCGGTCCTGGAGATTTATAAGAAACAAAAGATTTCAAAGCATCCCTAATCTCTTCACACGAAATGGGCCGTTCCATCGACTCCCTATGAGCCTCCTGGAGACAGGGAAGAGAAACAGAACTCAAGAAGGAGTCGAAAGACGAAGCACCTCCCCTGAAGCGTACTATAAAGTTCAGTGTAAAGAGTGAAATTTCCGAAGAATCTTACCTGGATCTTGGGATAAAGTGCCGTCGTCTAATATGAGCTTAGGGAGAGACGTTTTGAGAATGTCTGGGAGTCAACTTGCGGGCCAATAAGGTATCAAGTCCAAGTAAAAAAATTTATGTTGGTTAGACCATCGTAGTTGTTTGTCAGCCGTAGTAGTAAGACAAAGATTTAGTTCCAGCCGGGCTTGATCCAATTTAAGCAACAAGTCTGGACTGGGATTTTGCTTATGCTGGGCAACCAAGTCAGAATATGCTTGAGTTTTGGTGGCTAGAAGGTCATTTTGGGCTTTTTTAAGTCGTGAAGAGAGCTGAATAATAAACCCCCTAACCGAGGCCTTATGGGCTGCCCAGTTAATGGCCGGGTTCGTATCCTCTGACTTATTAAGTTCAAAGTACGTTTGTAAGTGAGAAGAGATGTCCTGACAATAGGAAGAATTACCCAAAATAGATTCATTAAGGCGCCAACAATAAGCAGTCCTACCAAGCAGCCCGGATGACAATGTTATAGAAATTGGGTCATGGTCAGACCAAGGCGTGGAGAGTATTTTAGCAGTGAGGAGTCTAGGGAGTGAATGTGTATGAAGAAATATATGGTCAATGCAAGAATAACAATTATGAGTCCTAGAGTAATGGGAATAGTCTCGAGAGGTTGGGTTAGCCCCTCTCCAAGCATCAACAAAGTCAAACCAATACAATAGCTGGGCCAATTTTCGGCTTTGTCTAGAGGAGGCTGAAGCACAGTGGTTCAGGTACGATAGAAAATCTGATCCAAAGCTAAGTTAGAGTCACCAGCCAGAATGACATCGCCTTCGAATTCGCTAGCCATAGAGTTCAATAGGGAATGGAAAAATGCCACCTGGTTGTTGTTAGGAGTGTAGTAAATTAAAAAAGTAATCAAATGTCCCCCCAGGTGTCCTTGCACAAGAAGATACCGTCCCTCCTTGTTCTGGATAACTTTAGATTTGGTAAAGGAAAGACGGTGAGATAAGCAATAACCCCCCGTTTCTTCTCTGAGGCATTAGCAAAATAACAGACAGGATAATCTTTATGTACGTATTGGGGGGTAAATGAAGGTGGGAAATGCGTCTCCTGTAGGGCAACTATGTCTGCCCCAAAAGAGCGGTATGAATTAAAGGCCTTTATGCGTTTGGAGGGGGAGTTAAGCCCCTGAACGTTATGAGAAAGTAGACAGATCGTTCTGCTATGAGACTGTAGAGAAATCATAATCGGCAATTAAAAAAACTAGATAGAATGGGGACTCTCCGCTCCTGAAGCGTAAAAGGGTCCAAAGGATCCAGATATGCTGACGGCTGACCCTGGAAGAGAGAAAAAAAAAGGGGGAGAAAGAGGGAGGACAATAAAGAAAAAAAGAGGAAGGAAAAAAGGAAGAAGAGACACTTGGAATAGAGAAATCCTCATGTCAAGCAACCGAAGGTGATGTACAAAGTCTTGTAAAATAAGCAAATCAAACTCCACACCCGTAATTGCAGAGCAATAGCCCTGCAAAGGAATGGGTCCACCCGGAGAAAGCAACTAAGGGAAGAGTCTTCCAATCAGGGAGGGCACATACACTCCCCGGAACCAACAACAACCCACCAATAACATAACAATTAGTAGTCAGAAATGCAACCGATCCCTCTGATAAAGGAATCAACATGTAGATAAGAGGTAACCCCAAGGCCACTTCCCTCGCTAAACCTCCCACAACAGCAGAAAAGCAATGGCCAATGTTCCCGAGGAACCACTGATGGGCCACCACCCAACCGTGGAAGAAAGGGGGGGGGAAAAAAAAAAAAAAAAAAAACACCCAAGGAGTCCCATGAAAAGCTGTAGAAACTTAGGAAGTCTGCTTGGGTGGTTTCCGCGGCTCAGTCTTTCGAGGATTTGAAGCAGTCCACAAAGGTGAGAGCGACTGAGGTCGAGAAGCCGATCTTGCTGGGGAGTGAGATGTAGGACTCTGAGATATAATGCCCAATTGAAATAGCCGTTGCTCGCCATCCTGGAATGTGGAGAACCCATAAGACTTTCCATTAATGTTGAATTGTAGGAGAAAGGGGACGCCGAGCCGGGCGCCATCTTAAGTCCCTTCCTCCCTGCAGGGAGTAATGATTGTAAAACTCTGCGGCTCTTCCCTGGCATTGTGCGGAGGCACTAAGGTCCGGGCAACACCCGGGGGAAATCCCGGAACCAGCGGGGGATCGGTGCCCATGCGTGGGCTGTCACTGGGTCCGGGGATGTGCGGAGCTAGTGCCGGACCATCCCGTCTGGCTGGCGCACCTACACGCTACTTTAATTTATTATGGGATTCATATTCAGCTTTAGGTCATAACTAGCACCTTTTTTTTTTCGTGTGGGTTTTTTTTTTTTTTTTTTTTTTTTTTTTTTTTTTTTTAAAGTTCCATTACCTTGTTACACAGGTCTTTCGACAGTTGAACATTCTGTTGTCTCCCCATGGCTCAGAATTTTAGCCTGCTCAGTGCATTCACGTCAGAGCTAACAAACTCATTGACTATACACTAATTGCAATTTAAAAAGCCACAGATGTGGGAAATTAACTTTTTAATTGCCTTTTAAACCTGTGTCAGCTTGTGTGTCTGTACCAAGGCCAAACATTTCAGTGTATGTAAACCTTTGATCAGGGCTATTATTATGATTTAAAAAGGAGCCAAACAAATATGTGATGATAATAAATGGCTTCAGATGAGCACTATCCTTAAGACTGTTTTTATGATCAGTCATATTTTTTTCAATATTGATTGATAAAATTTCATGATTTCTGCCAGGGTATGCAAATTTTTGAACACAACTATATTATTTATATATATATATATATATATATATATATATATATATATATATATATATATATTTATTTTGGGGTGGGATATAGCACCAAATCCATTAGGAATGTGTACTTATGTGTATCATATTACCTGTAGGCAGCTGCTTCTGTTAAAAATTATCCATGCTGGATATTGCCCTAAAAAATCTGTCTTCTGGCTTTGAAGACTACTGAGAAGTTGCGCCCCCCCCGACTTCTTCTGGTCTCTCCACCTTTCACAGAACTCCTACTATTATCCCACAATGCATGACATGATCTTCTCTGCCCATTCACAGAAGGCAAAGCATTGTGGGAGTGTAGTAATGCGAGCAATAATGGTGGAGGAGAAAGTCGAGGGCAGGGGAGTGGCACAACTTTTCTCAGTAGCGGCTGCTACTCATAACCATTTCAGCTGTGAAAGACACAGCAGGGTTGATTTTTAGCAGAAGCAGCTGTCTGCAGGTAGGATATACACTGTTACACATACCTAATGTATTTGGTGCTGTATCCTCCAAAAAATATATACTAAGCTTCAGCTTTAAAGCGTGCATATTTTTGGCATCACTGGGTCATGAACGCCTAATACATTGGTTGCCTTTGCTGTAGCTTATTTGATCTGATCTAGTATTATATTCTATCTTTTTAATTAGGATTTCCAAGAACAGTCCCTCAAGCCCAGGCTCTCGATAATGCTCATTATATAAACAGTGTCATTAATCTGAATGTGCCATTTCAGACCATTAAGGATCGTCTGACAGCCCGATGGATCCATCCTGGCAGTGGCAGAGTATACAACACTGAATTCAATCCACCCAAGGTCTCGGTAAGATGAATATATATGAATACGTGCCTTCTGTATTAACTGGTTCTTACTAAGAACTGGTGTTTATTTCTTCAGAACAACCAAACCGATTTAAACTTTCAGGGTTGGTCTGATGCGGATTACTGGGTAATGAGAAGTAACTCCAGTGCTTGCAAAACACTGACATGGGACATTTACTAAAACTGGTGCACACAGAATCTGGCGCAGCTGTTCATAGTAACCAATCAGCATCTAGGTTTTATTGTCCAAGCTTAAAGTGGTAGTAAGATGTAGTAAAGAGGTAGAAGTTTAATGCTCTGTTACAAAGCTCAGTTGTATATCTCAAACTTGCATGTTAATATGTATGGGGGATGACAACTAGACACCCCTTGTGTTGACATTATTCTGGGAAAACAGTAAAGTTTGGTAAAAAATTGACAACTTGGCCAATCCCTTTTTCGTTGACTGTCAACGAGGATTGTCTGTAGCTACTCTTAAACTGGCCATACATTAGTAGATCTTTGCACGAACGACTGTACAAACATTCGAACAAAAAAAAATTTGCAGTACATTCAATGACTTTACCAATGTTGTTCAAAAGCATTTCAAAACTTTTTTTTTTTTTTTTTTTTTTTTGCTTTTGACATTCAACTGTGGAGTAAATGGCCCTTCCTGAAGAAAAACCGAATGTACTGTTTAAAAATTTGTTCAGTCAAGAAAAATTTTTCATCCTGCTTCTTTTACGGTTTGACCCTACTGTTGATTATAAACAGATTAGAGACAGTTGCAAGAAAAGTCCTCTCTGGTGGCCAATTTCTTCTGCCTTCCCTTGATTCCAGCTCTGTAGCCTTTGTAAGACTCTAATTTCTGGGATTGCTTCCATCTTCTGACCCCCAAGTCACTGCAGGACATGACAGCGATAGAAGGGTAAGAGGAAGGAACCACAGAGCATGACTGGGGAGACAGGCAAGTGTTGAATTCTGCAGAGTCTACTGCAGGAGGGGCGCTTTTTTTTTTTTTTTTTTTTTTTTTTTATGGAGTGGATAAGGTCTAGTTTTTAATGTTTTGGGAAAACCAATACAAATACAATACATATCCTAATAATTAATAAAGACCATGCATTACAAAATTACAGTCCATATATCTAGTAGTGGTGCACTGAAATGAAAATTCTGGTGCCGAAACCAAAAAAACAAAAATTCAAATGCACTTGGCCAAAAACCGAAATGTGCAGTTTTTAAAAATTAATATATATTGGGGGGAAAAAAAATACACTTTGATTAAAAAAACAGTATATACCCCCATTTTTTGTAAAATATGAAAGAGGATGTTACAGCGAGTAGATACCCAAAATGTCACACTTTAAAATTGCGCACGCTCTTGGAATGGCGTGAAACTGCGGTACTTAAAAAAAAAAAAAATAAAAATCTCCATGGGTGATGCTTTAAAAAATGTCTACAGGTTAGCAGTGTAATGTTACAGAGGAGGTCTAGTGCAAGAATTATTGCTCTTGCACTTTAAAGGTTTTTTTTTTTTTTTTTTTTTTTTTTGCACTGTTCCTTTAAAAAAATGTATTCACTTTTATTCTTATCACAAGAAATGCATGCATCTCTTGTGATAGAAATAATTAGTGACAGGTCCTTCTTTATGGAGGGATATGGGGTCAATAAGACCCCACATCTCTCCTCTACAATGTAAAGCATTTGATAAAAAAGCATTGATCTAGTGCTTTAAAAAAAAAAAAAAGAAATGGCTGGAACGGGAAGTGACATCGCTCTGGTCCTCCAAGGGCATAGAGCTGTGTGGTGGCCATCTTTCCTTCACTCATCCCTATGCCCAGCTCCAGGATTGATGGTTTCTCAGGCTAGGCGGAACTACCAAGCGGTGGCAGCGGCAGGGTTTTTTCAGCACCTGTATCGGTGCTTTTTTTCATTTCGGCCGAATGGGGTGTTTTCGACTGAAACGTTTCGGCCACCAAAATTTTGGTGCATCCCTAATATCTAGTGCTTCGTGCTCATGTATTCCAATAACTGTTACATACTCTGAAAAATCCAATGCAAATGTCCCGAGCTGTAAAGTAACTTCCAATCACATTGTGCTCGGTGCTCCCTCTCCTGTGTGCTCTTCACTCACCAGATAAGGTGGACTCCTAGCTTTATGGGCTTAAGAGTCAAACACTTTTCTCTGGTGGGATGTTCTCACAGATGTTTCCAGGATTCCATAGAGTACTGGATCCATAGTTATAATAGGAAAGGTTCAACCTGTCAGTGTATTCCGTTTAACATCAGATATGTACCAAAGGGAAGCAAAAGGAACACTAATAGTGTAATATTGTCATGCCATTTATTGACTATGATAAAATCTATATTACACTCACGTTCCATAAACAACAAATAGCCTTGTATATAAAAATGTAGTATCCTCAGCCTCAGACAGGTGATGCAGTATCCTAAAATGGCTCCGGAGTGCCGCTGGTTCGCATGTTATCCACTCACCAGATGTGACATCATTCCAAATAACTGGAAACCAGAAATTTTGTCAACACGTTTCACCCCTCCTACAGGGCGTGCACATCTGGTGAGTGAGGAGTGCACAGGAGAGGGAGCACCGAGCACAACATGATTAGAATGTGTTTTACAACAAGGGATTTTTGCATTGGATTTTTCAGAGCATGTGACACTGTTATTGGAGTACACGAGCATGAAGCACTAGATATATGGACTTTATTTTGTAATGCGCTCTGTTTATTATTATTTTCTATTCGTGTATTTCACTTTGAGCAGCGGCATTCTTTTAGCACAATAGTTTTTGCACAAATTTTGGTCACCAATTTGTTTTGTGTATAGTAGCGCAGTTTATTTTTTGTTTACAATACATATCCTGTTTCATATTTTCTAACAGGGAATAGATGATATTACCGGAGAGCCTCTAATTCAGCGTGAGGATGACAAGCCAGAAACCGTTACCAAGAGACTGAAAGGTTACGAGGCCCTTACCAGACCTGTATTGGAATATTATCAGTAAGTGTTTTTTGTTTTTTTTTTTTTCTTTTGTTTGTTTTTTTTTTTTCTATTTTATGACTTTATAATACAACAACCAAGAGTATGAAATGGTTACTTTTTCTGTTACAATATTTTTTTTATAGAACTAAATATAAATCATGATTATGCATTAATTGTCACAGGAACTGACACAATAAAAAAAAAAAAAAATTTACAAAATATAATGTCAGCAGTTTTGTTTCAAAGGTATCAGTTTCTGGCTCAGTTGGTTTTAAGACTCATACAGTGCCTTAAAGTATTTATACCCCTTGAAATTTTCCACATTTTGTCATGTTACAACCAAAAATGTAAGTGTATTTTATTGGGATTTTCTGTGATAGATCAACACAGAGTGGCACATAATTTTAAAAAAAATTTAAAAAAGCTTCCTTCTACTTCACAAAGGTGTGAAAAGTGTGGTGTGCATTTGTATTCTGCCTCACTGAGTCAGTACTTTGTAGAACCACCTTTCTCTGCAATTACAGCTGCAAGTCTTTTTTTTTTTTTTTTTTTTTTTTGGGTTTGTTTCTCTACCAGCTTTGCACATCTAGAGTGACATTTGTGCCCATTCTTTGCAAAATAGCTCAAGCTCTGTCAGATTGGATGGAGAGCATCTGTGAACAGCAATTTTCAAGTCTTGCCACAGATTCTCAATTGGATTTAGGTCTGGACTTTGACTGGGCCATTCTAACACATGAATATGCTTTGATCTAAACCATTCCATTGTAGCTCTGGCTGTATGTTTAGGGTCGTAGTCCTATGAAAGGTGAACCTCTGCCCCAGTCTCAAGTCTTTTGCAGACTCTAACAGGTTTTCTTCTAAGATTGCCCTGTATTTTGGCTCCATCCATCTTCCCATCAACTCTGACCAGCTTCTCTGTCCCTGCTGAAGAGAAGCATCCCCACAACATGATGCTGCCACCACAATATTTCATGGTGGGGATGGTGAGTTCAGGGTGATGTGTAGTGTTGGTTTTCCACACATAGCATTTTGCTTTTAGGCCAGAAAGTTAAATTTTGGTCTCATCTGACCAGAGCACCTTCTTCCACATGTTTGCTAGTTTCCCCACATGGGTTTTCGCATACAGCACTTCTTATGGATTTCTTTCAACATTGGCTTTCTTATTGCCACTCTTCTATGAAGGCCAGATTTGTGGAGTGCACAACTAATAGTTGTCCTGTGGACAGATTCTCCCACCTGAGCTGTGGACCTCTGCAGCTCCTCCAGAGTTACCATGGGCCTCTTGGCTGCTTCTCTAAGTAATGTTCTCCTTGCCCGGCCTGTCAGTTTAGGTGGACAGCCATGTCTTGGTAGGTTTGCAGTTGTGCCATCCCCCTTTTTTTTTTTTTTTTTTTTTTTTTTTTTTTTCCATTTTTGATGATGAATTGGACAGTGCTCCATTAGATGTTCAAAGCTTGGGTTTTTTTTTTTTCATAACCTTTAAACTTCTCCATAACTTTATCCCTGACCTGTCTGGTGTATTCCTTGGCCTTCATGATGCTGTTTGTTCACTAATGCTTTTTAATAATAAACCTCTGAGGGCTTCACAGAACAGTTGTATTTATGCTGAGATGAAATTACACACAGGTGGACTCTTATTTACTAATTGGGTAACTTCTGAAGGCATTTGGTTCCTCTAGATTTTAGTTAGGGGTAAAGGGGAATGAATACAAATGCACACCACGCTTTTCAGTTATTTATTGTAAAAAAAATTTGAAAACAATTTATAATTTTTTTTCCACTTCACAATTAATGTACCACTTTGTGTTCGTCTATCACAGAAAATTTCAATAAAATACATTTGTTTTTGGTTGTAACATGACAAAATGTGGGAAATTGCAAGGGGAATGAATGCTTTTTCAAGGCACTCTATACATTAGTGTCTACTGAGCATTACGTATTTGGTATCTTCTTCACATATGTTAGAGATATAAGAATCATTTAAGGGCCATTGCCTGCTTAAACTGTATCAGA